GAAACCAATAAAAATCATTTCAATTTCCGTAATATGTCTTTCTTTCTATAAAATGAGACCAGGAAAACTAGAATACAACCATAAATAGCATACGAAAATACACTGCAAGGTTGCTGTTTTAAACCAAAGACACAATCTGGATTTTTTTTATACTGTGCACACTGACCACATAGATCCATTCTTTCATATGTAGGTCTACCAGTTTTCTCTTGCTAGATTTGAAGGCGCTAGAATTTACGCGTCCTAGTACGGCACCAACCCTGGCGTGCAAGCTGTACTAGTATGATACCAATCCTGAAAGGGCTAATATGTCAAAAACATTGGCTTGTAAGACGTATATATACAGCCAAAACAGTCAAAAGGTTAAAGGAAGCTTTGGATTGTTACTGGCCTGTGACAGTGCCAATTTGCAAAGTTTTACTTCAACCCCACAGTTGTCCTTGTCTGGTAACTCATGCAAGGTAAGCAAATTCATTGTTAAAAAAAAAAGATTCCATCAGTATTGTAGAGAATTTGAAATAGAACACAACTAATGAAAGAAAACCAGGAAATGTTGAAATCTCTCATTGTTATGGCAGTTTAAAGTTTCATGAGTTTAGTAAGACTTTAGCCCTTTAACTGTTTTTGACATACTAGTACACAGAGAGCCAGATTGTGCTTGACGTACCTGTATATCAAATTTTCATGAATTCACATATTCTGCCAGCCACCATTTTAATCTCGTATGAGGACAGAGAACCTTCCCAGAGCATCAGTAGGATTACAGAACCTCACCAGAGCATCATGAGGGATCAAAGAACTCACCAGAGCAATGTGCAGTCAAAGAACCTCATCAGAGCAACATGTGGTGAGTTTAGTACTGATTTACCAATTTGTTAGTGCTCTAGAAGAGTGAGTTATCTGTTAGTGATTTTGGGGATTATATTATCCACATAGCCCAGTCTCAGATTAGTCCTCATAGGTTAGCAAGGAAATATTGCAGGATTAAGAACCATTAAGCATATTGGAGAATAATGGTATGTGTAAACTGAATGTAAGTAGAAGTTTGTATGTATGATTCACCTTTCAACTTGTGTGTTCATAAGACTGAAGAAAAATCAGCAGTCTTACCAGAGTACAGTTCTCTCCACCACTTTTTATAAAATTGGCATCAGGGAGCAACACTGCCTATTAACAATATACCAACTTTCTCTTTACCAGATAAGAGTGACAGCTAAATCAATGCAATGAGGCATTCTCAAGCTATTATTATTTTTTTTTTATTAACACACTGGCCGATTTCCACCAAGGCAGGGTGGCCCGAAAAAGAAAAACTTTCACCATCATTCACTCCATCACTGTCTTGCCAGAAGGGTGCTTTACACTACAGTTTTTAAACTGCAACATTAACACCCCTCCTTCAGAGAGCAGGCACTGTACTTCCCATCTCCAGGACTCAAGTCCGGCCTGCCGGTTTCCCTGAACCCCTTCATAAATGTTACTTTGCTCACACTCCAACAGCACGTCAAGTATTAAAAACCATTTGTCTCCATTCACTCCTATCAAACACGCTCACGCATGCCCGCTGGAAGTCCAAGCCCCTCGCACACAAAACCTCCTTTACCCCCTCCCTCCAACCTTTCCTAGGCCGACCCCTACCCCGCCTTCCTTCCACTACAGACTGATACACTCTTAAAGTCATTCTGTTTCGCTCCATTCTCTCTACATGTCCGAACCACCTCAACAACCCTTCCTCAGCCCTCTGGACAACAGTTTTGGTAATCCCGCACCTCCTCCTAACTTCCAAACTACGAATTCTTTGTATTATATTCACACCACACATTGCCCTAAGACATGACATCTCCACTGCCTCCAGCCTTCTCCGCGCTGCAACATTCATCACCCATGCTTCACACCCATATAAGAGCTTTGGTAAAACTATACTCTCATACATTCCCCTCTTTGCCTCCAAGGACAAAGTTCTTTGTCTCCACAGACTCCTAAGTGCACCACTCACCCTTTTCCCCTCATCAATACTATGATTCACCTCATCTTTCTTAGACCTATCTGCTGACACGTCCACTCCCAAATATCTGAATACATTCACCTCCTCCATACTCTCTCCCTCCAATCTGATATCCAATCTTTCATCACCTAATCTTTTTGTTATCCTCATGACCTTACTCTTTCCTGTATTCACTTTTAATTTTCTTTTTTTGCATACCCTACCAAATTCATCCACCAACCTCTGCAACTTCTCTTCAGAATCTCCCAAGAGTACAGTGTCATCAGCAAAGAGCAACTGTGACAACTCCCACTTTATGTGTGATTCTTTATCTTTTAACTCCACGCCTCTTGCAAAGACCCTCGCATTTACTTCTCTTACAACCCCATCTATAAATATATTAAACAACCACGGTGACATCACACATCCTTGTCTAAGGCCTACTTTTACTAGGAAATAATCTCCCTCTCTCCTACATACTCTAACTTGAGCCTCACTATCCTCGTAAAAACTCTTCACTGCTTTCAGTAACCTACCTCCTACACCATACACCTGCAACATCTGCCACATTGCCCCCTATCCACCCTGTCATACGCCTTTTCCAAATCCATAAATGCCACAAAAACCTCTTTAGCCTTATCTAAATACTGTTCACTTATATGTTTCACTGTAAACACCTGGTCCACACACCCTCTACCTTATCTAAAGCCTCCTTGTTCATCTGCTATCCTATTCTACGTCTTACTCTTAATTCTTTCAATAATAACTCTACCATACACTTTACCAGGTATACTCAACAGACTTATCCCCCTATAATTTTGCACTCTCTTTTGTCCCCTTTGCCTTTATACAAAGGAACTATGCATGCTCTCTGCCAATCCCTAGGTACCTTACCCTCTTCCATATATTTATTAAATAATTGCACCAACCACTCCAAAACTATATCCCCACCTGCTTTTAACATTTCTATCTTTATCCCATCATTCCCGGCTGCCTTACCCCCTTTCATTTTACCTACTGCCTCACAAACTTCCCCCACACTCACAACTGGCTCTTCCTCACTCCTACAAGATGTTATTCCTCCTTACCCTATACATGAAATCACAGCTTCCCTATCTTCATCAACATTTAACAATTCCTCAAAATATTCCCTCCATCTTCCCAATACCTCTAACTCTCCATTTAATAACTCTCCTCTCCTATTTTTAACTGACAAATCCATTTGTTCTCTAGGCTTCCTTAACTTGCTAATCTCACTCCAAAACTTTTTCTTATTTTCAACAAAATTTGTTGATAACATCTCACCCACTCTCTCATTTGCTCTCTTTTTACATTGCTTCACCAGTCTCTTAACCTCTCTCTTTTTCTCCATATACTCTTCCCTCCTTGCATCACTTCTACTTTGTAAAAACTTCTCATATGCTAACTTTTTCTCCCTTACTACTCTCTTTACATCATCATTCCACCAATCGCTCCTCTTCCCTCCCGCACCCACTTTCCTGTAACCACAAACTTCTGCTGAACACTCTAACACTACATTTTTAAACCTACCCCATACCTCTTCGACCTCATTGCCTATGCTCTCATTAGCCCATCTATCCTCCAATAGCTGTTTATATCTCACCCTAACTGCCTCCTCTTTTAGTTTATAAACCTTCACCTCTCTCTTCCCTGATGCTTCTATTCTCCTTGTATCCCATCTACCTTTTACTCTCAGTGTAGCTACAACTGAACAATGATCTGATATATCTGTGGCCCCTCTATAAACATGTACATCCTGAAGTCTACTCAACAGTCTTTTATCTACCAATACATAATCCAACAAACTACTGTCATTTCGCCCTACATCATATCTTGTATACTTATTTATCCTCTTTTTCTTAAAATATGTATTACCTATAACTAAACCCCTTTCTATACAAAGTTCAATCAAAGGGCTCCCATTATCATTTACACCTGGCACCCCAAACTTACCTACCACACCCTCTCTAAAAGTTTCTCCTACTTTAGCATTCAGGCCCCCTACCACAATTACTCCCTCACTTGGTTCAAAGGTTCCTATACATTCACTTAACATCTCCCAAAATCTCTCTCTCTCCTCTACATTCCTCTCTTCTCCAGGTGCATACACGCTTATTATGTCCCACTTTTCGCATCCAACCTTTACTTTAATCAACATAATTCTTGAATTTACACATTCATATTCTCTTTTCTTCTTCCATAACTGATCTTTCAACATTACTGCTACCCCTTCCTTAGCTCTAACTCTCTCAGATACTCCAGATTTAATCCCATTTATTTCCCCCCCACCGAAACTCCCCTACCCCCTTCAGCTTTGTTTCGCTTAGGGCCAGGACATCCAACTTCTTTTCATTCATAACATCAGCAATCATCTGTTTCTTGTCATCCGCACTATATTCACACACATTCAAGCATCCCAGTTTTATAAAGTTTTTCTTCTTCTCTTTTTTAGTAAGCATCTACAGGAGAAGGGGTTACTAGCCCATCGCTCCCGGCATTTTAGTCGCCTCATACAACACGCATGGCTTACGGAGGAAAGATTCTTTTCCACTTCCCCATGGACAATAGAAGAAATAAAGAAGAACAAGAGCTATTTAGAAAAAAGAGAAAAACCTAGATGTATGTATATATATATGCATGTATGTGTCTGTGAAGTGTGACCAAAGTGTAAGTAGGAGTAGCAAGATATCACTGTTATCTAGCATGTTTATGAGACAGAAAAAGACACCAGCAATCCTACCATCATGCAAAACAGTTACAGGTTTCTGTTTCACAGTCATCTGGCAGGACGGTAGTACTTCCCTGGGTGGTTGCTGTCTACCTACCTTACCAAGCTAATACATGAAAATACAGTAAAATATAACTAAAAATAAACCTTTAGGAAACCACTATAGGTATCCTCCTTTACAAGGAGTATGTTTGATTATTTAAATAACTAACATAAGTGTAAAAGAATTTTCAGTGGTACAGTATTTAGTGATTTCCATTTACTTACATTCTTTTCAAAGGATTCATGTACGGTAAAATTTTCTCGGCAGATACACAGTTCTGCAGGATTATCCTTAATGACATCTCGACATAATCTTGCATCTCCATTAGCTAGTGTGTGGTTTATACTGAGGCATTCAGTGTAATCTAGCTGTAATTCTTGCACCTGAAATAAAATAAATAATTAAATAAAAGCCATGTCAGAGAGATGGGAGAATACAAACTGTGCATACAGCAATACCTTGATTTAAAGGACTAATGGAGGGAGAAGGTGTCCATAAATGCTGACTGTTAAATCTAAATGAAAGGATTGTTTTTAATGACCATAACAATGGCCAATCCTTGATTTAATGAACTTCATCCATTATTTCTGGATGTTGTCTGACCACAGATTTTATCCATTAAACCTGAAATATGTTAAATCATGATACATTAAATCGAGGGTTTTGCTGCATAGCAACAAAGTCAGGTCAGGGTTCTAGAGGACCCTGACCTTTGTAGCTATGCTACTGTCCTGTATTGCTACTGTACTCTAATGCTATTTGAATTACTCGTCATCTTTTACTTTTCCAAAATACAGTCTCGCTCTTAGCTGTTATACTAAAGATTTATAATTTTTTTTTTAATTTGATTTCAGCAAAACTTAGGGTTTTTCTAGTCTTTGTTTTAAGCAAGCATTCTGAGGGAATGCACCTCGGTAGTGTTTTGCCTTGCCATTGGTACTGTGATCAATATGAAAGTCAACAACACACACTACCAAATTTTTTTTACAATGTCTAGGAGTAAACATGACACTTATGAACTATATTTTTACGTAATTAAATTTTGAATTGATTATACTGACATATCTCCGATTAGCAATTGTACACTTACTGAACATGTTGGTGACTGTGGTAAGAAAGATACATATGTGAATGGTTATAAAAGCAGTAGTAGTACATATAATAATTGAGGAGGTAAAATTACTAAATTAGATGACTGAGATAAGGAACAAGCTAAGGAAAATATTACTAAATCATAATGGAAAAAGTGTTTATCCATTTTAGATGAATCTATCTCTTTCATGGAGAAATCATTTACCTTTACACAGTACTATAATGTACAATACCCTCACAGTGGCTGTCACACAAATACGTCAATGAGGCCACGGTCTCTCGGATAGCTCTATATCATGAGCTCAGCTCACTTGGGTAAACTGAGCAGTAAATTTTGGCCTAGATATGCAGTGTATAAAAAATTCTGCACTCAGGTTTTGTTTCCAATTTTCTCTTAACAAACATTAGTAAACAACCACTGGAACAAGGTCTCTTGTAGACTCCATGATGAGGCTTCAATAAGTAATTTCACAATAGAGCTAGGTACAGTTGACTGACCTAGAGAATTCTCTAATGCCAATGGTATCAATGACTGGATAGATATAGTTCTTAACAAATTACTTAGACTATATTACAAACATTTTCCCATAAAAACAAAACAGATTATGAATAAATGGCTAGGTTGCCCATGGCTAACTAACAGCATACTAAGATCTAATGATAAGAAACATCAATATGAAAAGCAATACAGACAGGGCTTAATAAACAAAGATATTATTAAACACTATGCATCAGTCCTCACCAAACTAATAAGAAAGGCTAAGCAATTGTACCGCTCCAGTAGATTCACCGAAACAAGAGGAGATATAAAAAAGACCTGGAAGATACTCTCTCAGATTCTGGGCACCCACAAACTGAAAAGAAAACTAGGGATGTTGTCCTAACTAAACCGAATGAAACACAACTACAGTGTATTGACTTTTTCTCAACCATAGGATCAAATCTCGCCAGTAAAATCCCAGGTACCAATACTCGAGCAAGTGATTACTTAGATGGGAATTTTCCAACCTCCTCCTATCTTGCACCAACCGAGCCCATGAAGGTCACCATGATTATTAAGTAGCTTAAAAATAAATCAGGAAATCTGGCTCAAGTCCTGCCATTATTGTACAAAAGAGCGGCTCATGTTCTTTCACCTGCTATTCCATTACTCTTTAACAAATCACTAGAAACCCGCACTTTCCTGACACTACTCAAGACAGGAAGGGTTACACCAATACACAAAGGTGGTGACCCCACAGACATAAACAACTACAGGCCAATATCAAACGTGTCGTTGCTATCCCAAATCTTTAAGAAACTTGTCCACAAGAGATTATATTCCTTTATAATAGCACAAAGCATCATGAACCCCTGCCAATTTGGCTTCAGGAGAAGCAAAAGCACAAACGACGCAATTGTAAAAATGCTAGACCTGCTTTACACAGAACTTGAAAAATGAATATCCATTAGGACACTTCATCGACCCAAGGAAAGCTTTTGACACATCAGACCACAGCATCCTACTCCACAAACTTGGTCACTATGGTAAAAGAGGCTATGCACTTACATATTTCAAATCCTACCTTACTAACAGGCATCAATATGTCTATTAACCCTTTCAGGGTCCGTCCCGTAGATCTACGGCTTTACGTTCAGGGTCCAAACCGTAGATCTACGCCATGAGCTCAGCTCACTCTGATAAACTGTGAGTGGTACATTTGGGCCTAGATATGAGAGAATACATCTATGTGGTATGTGTGCACCACATAAAACAGATCCTGCAGCACACTGTGTATAATGAGAGAAAAAATATGAAATCATGATTTTTCGATTAAAACAGCAACTTTGCAGTGTTTTTTCGTATGTTTTTTATAGTTGTATTTGCGATTTCTTGGTCTCATTTGATAGAATGGAAGACATATTACAGAAATAGAGATGATTTTGATTGGTTTTAGCACTGGAAATGGCTTGAAACTGAGCTCAAAGTAGCAGAAATGTTAAATTTTTGCCGATATTCAAGAGTAAACAAACGACCTCACACGTCTAATACACGTCAGCTGGTGGGTCTAATATACATTCACAAATATGGTGATGATATTTATACAATTATTACAGTATTGCATAACAGTAAATCTTCTATTTTTTGGTGTGAATAAAAATTCATTATGTGAATAAAAAAATCAAAATGGAATTTATTTGTAAAGCCTCAAAACATAACTAATGAACAGAGGAAATGTTAGTTTAGTGCCAGGAATGCCTACATTGTTCATTCTGTACCCTATTTTGAAATTGGAATATTTTGAACTTTGTGTTAAATTGGCCAAATTAACAATTTCCGATCACTTTATTTTGTAGTTGAAACAGTTGACTTGGCGATTTCTTGTGCTCAATCGATAGAATAGAAGTAATACTAGTGAAATGGCTAAGAATTTGGTTGATTGGAATAATGTAATTGGCCTAAAATTGGAGTCAAATTCGGCAAAATCGCCGATTCGTAAATATCGCTGACACATCAAAATTCGCGAGAGCATAATTTCGTCAATTTTCCACCAAATTTCGTACTTTTTGTTTTATTACCTTCACAAAAAGATTCTCTACGATTTCATAAGAAAAAATAACAAATTTTTTTTTTTTTAAATTCTTGGACACTGGTGCGTGACTCCAGATTTGGGCCTTGGACCCTGAAAGGGTTAAGGACACAACCTCATCAACAAGACCACTGGATACTGGAGTACCACAGGGAAGTGTCCTTGGTTCCCTTGGTCCCCTTATACATTAATGATTTTCCTAATGTATCACAACATCTTAAACCTATTCTCTTTGCTGACAACACGACTTACATCATCTCCCACCCTAATCTTGCCTCACTCAATACTACTGATAACGAAGAGCTAGTAAAAATATCGACCTAGATGACTGCTAATAAACACATACTTAATACTGACAAAACCTTCTACGTTCTGTTTGGGAACAAAACAGGTGTTGCCCAGATGAACATTATGAGTGACAACACTTATTGCTAAACATAATGAAGGCAAATTCCTGGGCCTGCACCCTGACAGCAACCTGAAATTCAACAACCATATCCAACACATAATAGAAAAAAAAAGTATCCAAAACAGTTGGGATCCTCTCCAAGAAACGATACTATGTACCACAATCAGCCCTACTCACACTATACTATTCACTCATGTATCCCTACCTCATCTATGCTATTTGTGCCTGGGGATCAACAGCAGCAACCCACCTAAACCCAATAATAATCCAACAAAAAGCTGCAGTAAGAATTATCACACAATCCAATGCTAGATAACACACCTCCACTCTTCAAAGACCTAAACTTACTCACTGTACAAAACATTCACAGCTGCTACTATGCAACCTACATTTACAGAACCATAAATTATAATATTAACCCTTTGAGGGTCAAGAGCTTCAATCCTGAATGCCTACTGGAGGTTGAAAAAAAAAATTGATTTTTTTCTTATCAATATCTTAAGATTATTTTTGTTAGTGTTTTAGTAAAAAAAAAAAAAAGAAAAAAAAAAAAGAGCAATTGCAATCAATACTTACCGAGATATAGAGGAGTGAAGTTGATAGAAAGTGAACCACTTACGGCAACATCGCTGACTGCCGGTAAAGCGGTAATCATTTACTTTTTTTTTTTTTTCATTTAATTTTCAACATTTGATTTTTCATGCAACTAATACGGCATGTGAGACCAATATGAAGCATGTTGTATATAAATTCACTCGTTGTATGCTACACAATAACTGTACAAACAGTGTTGTCACTGTACTGTTTACAAAACATGTTTACAGAAACAAACAATAGAAAAATGTTATTACTATTTTTCTACATTATATATGTATACCCATGTACAGTCACTAGACATGTTCCTAGAACTGCTGCAGCTTGTGGAAGTCTTTGAAACATGATGTCATGCACAGTGGTGTTTTACACTCCTCACACATAAAACGAGCATTTGCGTTTTTTTGTGGGCGTTTTGTTGTACAGTGGACCATCAAATCTCCTAATTAATCCATGCCAGAGAGTCTGGAAAAAGGCAAAATTTACAAATGGCAAAATCATTTTCCCCTTAAGAAATAATGTAAATCCAATTAATCCATTCCAGACACCCAAAAGTATTAACAAAAAAATATTTTTTTTTTTACATTAAATATAGATTTACATACAGAAAACAATGAGACATCAAGTATAAAACAATAATGACATCACACTTACCTTTATTGAAGATTCTTGTTGGTGTATGGAAGACGGGAGGAGGGGAGAGGGTTAGGGTGATATTCCTCCACAAATGTTTGCACCTCACTCCACTTTGCACAAGCGATTCGAAGAGAATCACCATGGGCTTGGCGTCCCTAGTTTTGAAGATTCTCATTATCCATCTATCATTTTCCTAGCGGATGAGGTAGATACATTATTGTGGTCGTTGAAGGCGAGATCCTCTGACATTATCACTCCCAGGTCCTTCACATTACTTTTCCGCTCTAGTGTATGGTTAGAATTTGTTGTATACCCTGACACATTTTTAATTTCTTAAAGTTTCCCATATCTGAGTAGTTGAAATTTCTCCTCATTGAACTTCAAATTGTTTTGAGTGGCCCATTCGAAGATTTGGTTGATGTCCGCTTGGAGTCTCACGGTGTCTTTGGTGGAGGTCACTACCATGGTAATCTGGGTGTCATCCGCAAAAAAAGACACAGAGCTATGGCTTACATCTCTGTCTATGTCAGAAATGAGGATGAGGAACAGAATGGGAACGAGTACTGTGCCTTGTGGAACAGAGCTTTTTACTGTGGCTGCCTGAGACTTTACTCTGTTTACTATTACTCTGTGTTCTATTTGTCAGGAAGTTGTAGATCCATCTACCAACTTTTCCCATTATTCCTTTATCATGCATTTCGTGTGCTATTACATCATGGTCACACTTGTCGAAAGCGTTTGCAAATTCTGTGTATACTACATCTGCATTTTGTTTATCCTCTACAGCATCCAGGACCTTGTCATAGTGGTCCAGTAGCTGGGACAGGCAGGAGCGACCTGCTCTAAACGCGTGTTACCCTGGGTTGTGTAATTGCTGGGTGGAACAATCTTCCAAGTAGGGTGATAGAGGCTAAGACCTTGGGAATACTAGTGAAATAGCTATGAGTTTGGTAGACTGGAACAATGGAATGGGCCAAAAAAAAAAGAGCATAGAGTGAAATTGCTGACGTGTAAATATCGCCATTGGGTTAAGTGTATTCTAACCTAACCATTCTCTAATCCGGCAAAATCACTAATCTGGCACCCTACAGGTCCTGATCATGCCAGATTAGTGATGGTCAACCTGTACTGAAATAGAGATGATTCTGGTTGGTTTCTGGACCGAAAGTAGCTTGAAATCGAGCTCAAAGTAGCAGAAATATCCATTTTTTTTTCCTCACTTTCCCGAGGACTGGTATGGCCCCCTACAACCCCTTAGTCTCTTTTATGACTTTTTAATAGGTCTGATTCAATTACTGGGACACTGTAAACCATAACCAATCATCTCTGGTTATATTTTATCTGAAAAATAGAGTAAATCTTCTATTTTTGTGTGATTATGTATTCAAAATGGAAGACAAGTGTAATACTGAAGAAGCCTGGGGACGTGACCATGTAAATTTTGAAAACAAAATTGTTAGTTACTCTCTAGTGATCATGAAAAGCTGTATGTAAAATGATGGGTCCTTTTTTTTCTTACAAGAGATGCTTTTGCAGGTGCAAAATTTGCTTGCACTATATGGATGCACCATACCAACAATACAGTAGTTATGGTAACAAATGCAATCATTCTTAACTAGTTCTACAATTAAGCATTATACAATATTGTACATATTTGCATAGTTATATTTATGTACTCTTAGTTTATGACAATATAACTACTAATTCCATAACATAAGCAAAATAATACCAACACTTCGCGAGAAAAAGAGTAGGGCAGCACCAAGAGGAACAAAGAGCAAACCAATCAGAAAAAAGGCCGGGAGAACTGTGTCAGCTGTCAAGATGGGCTGCCAAGCTGGAAGTCGTTGCTGCTTGAACTTCTGTTTAAACTTGGAATCTGAAAAGAAAACAAAAGGAATTAATTTGAAATGAGAGATGTATAAAACTTTAAATGAGAACAAAACTGTCACTATTATATTACAGTAATGGTTTATAAAACCAACAAGTACATAAATAAAACACATGTGCAACACTTCAGTATCTTTATTGTGTACCTTTGCTGTATAGCAATGGCAGAATTGTTGTAAGTCATATATGTATAGAGGCAGGTCAAAGAGTCTTGCAAGGACGGTGCCTCATACATGCAATGCAATTAGAGGTGATGTAGATGGAGTTTAATGTATGGAAAACTAATCAAAGTTAAACAAAAAAATAATTAACAGTTAGTATAGAGCAAATGCCAGTGACAAAATTTTAGAGTTGAGTTTGAGTTTACTGAGCACTTCTCAGTCAACAGTACTGATATACACAAGTATCAAGATAAACAAAGCTGTAACTGAAAATAGAAAATTATACCTCCAAGAATGATACCCAATTCATAATACACTTTTTAAAAATTAAATATTAAATTAAAATTAATTTTTATTTCTAATAAGCCAAATAAATTAGTTACATTTGATCTTATTTTAATGCAGATATATGATGTGATATAAGGCATTTTGGGCACACTAATCATAAGGCTTACATAAAACTTACAGTATATCTAGACCTAGTATATAATTTAAGTCAGAATAGCTTGGGTAAATAAAATTTAAGTCAGTATAGCTTGGGTAATTCATTACAATCATACGCACAATGAGACAGGCTGCATATGAAGAATTGGTCAATTACAAATAAAATGTATTGAAATTTCATTGGTTCAATGACTGAGGTAGTGAAATCTAAGCATGAGAATTTACAGAGCTAACAGATATAACATTTATGAGAGATTTAAGAGGAGCTTTTTAACAATACATATTAGTAAAGATGTTGGCAGATGGGGAACTTACAGCATTTTCAGACAGAGTATTCAGGGATGTTGGGGGAATAGAATACCCACCATTTTGGAGTTTTTTAAAGAAATGTTCTGAACATGTGCACTGAATTTTAGTCTGCTGTCCAGGTGTATTCCTAAGAATTTACCATCATCCTGTCTATCACACTCAATAATGAGTATGAGTTTGTTAATTGCAATCCAAGTGCGTACGCATGCGTGCACACACGCACACACGTACGCACACACGTGCGCACACACGTGCGCACACACACACACACACACACACACACACACACACATATATATATACATACATACATGTATTTAGCAAGTTCAGCATTTACTGTACTGTGTTGCTGAGTGCAGCCAGATCAGGATTTGAAACAATAAAAGTTGTGTCATCGGCAAACAGAATTGGTAAACATACACTTTGCGTGTTAAAAATGTTAAGTGTCTAGAAAGTCTCTAGATGGAGCCTTGGAGCTGTTTATTTTATATTTACTGTATATACAGTACAATTATGTATAATTCATACGGAAGTGATCAATTATATTTAGTTGTTTCTGAAGAAATACACAGGAAGCTTTAGTTACAGAAAACACTATGGTCTAAAATTACAATGGAAAATCCCCAAGAAATCCATATCTTTGCTCAAACCTAGTTTAAGTAACACAGTTTTGAAAAGAAATATTTGGAATTAACCTATTATTTATATACTGTACTATGACACATTTGCTTGCTCACATTAATCTCAGGTGTTGTTTCTCTTTCGAGATGGTGACTAAGCTGTAGATTTGAGTAAAAAAAATTTCAGTTCAATTATTAGAATCTCATGCTGGTTTTAATCAATGATTTCATTTCATTTCTCTGAGATCCACTTAACATTTACCTGTGAAAGGGAATTTTAAAAATTTACCCAAGTTCAGTTACTTCTTTGTATGCAATCATACAGAGTATAGTTCCAGGTGAAAAATATATTGCTATAATTCTAATGTTTTATCAGAACATTAAATGATAAATAACTTTTTATATATTATTTATACAAACTTTAATCCCTCAGGCTTATTTGTAACAAATTCTTAAGTTTTCAATATTGTTGCATGTTTGTGATTAAGATATCATGGTGTAATGAATAACAAACAGTGTTTAATATTAGAACACACATTCAACAGCTTCATAATGTAGCTATATTTTCACACTACCTGGCACTGGAATTCATAACTGTAATATACTAAACATATTCATTATTTAAAATAGTGCAGTATGTGTGTATATCTTGCCATGTTTAATGTACAAGGTAAATACAGTAGAACCTCAGCGTTTGAATGTACCAGACCACGAACAAACTGGAGTCCGAACAATTTTGTTCAGACGAAATTTACCCAGTCTTTGAACATTTTTCTGGAATCCAAACACGCTGGCTTGTTTAAAATTATTTTTATTAACACACTAGCCGATTCCCACCAAGGCAGGGTGGCCTGAAAAAGAAAAACTTTCACCATCATTCACTCCATCACTGTCTTGCCAGAAGGGTACTTTACACTACAGTTTTTAAACTGCAACATTAACACCCCTCCTTCAGAGTGCAGGCACTGTACTTCTCATCTCCAGGACTCAAGTCCGGCCTGCCAGTTTCCCTGAATCCCTTCATAAATGTTACTTTGCTCACACTCCAACAGCACGTCAAGTATTAAAAACCATTTGTCTCCATTCACTCCTATCAAACACGCTCACGCATGCCTGCTGGAAGTCCAAGCCCCTTGCACACAAAACCTCCTTTACCCCCTCCCTCCAACCTTTCCTAGGCCGACCCCTACCCCGCCTTCCTTCCACTACAGACTGATACACTCTTGAAGTCATTCTGTTTCGCTCCATTCTCTCCACATGTCTGAACCACCTCAACAACCCTTCCTCAGCCCTCTGGACAACAGTTTTGGTAATCCCGCACCTCCTGCTAACTTCCAAACTACGAATTCTCTGCATTATATTCACACCACACATTGCCCTCAGACATGACATCTCCACTGCCTCCAGCCTTTTGCTTGCTCCAACATTCATCACCCATGCTTCACACCCATATAAGAGCGTTGGTAAAACTATACTCTAATACATTCCCCTCTTTGCCTCCAAGGACAAAGTTCTTTGTCTCCACAGACTCCTAAGTGCACCGCTCACCCTTTTCCTCTCATCAATTCTATGATTCACCTCATCTTTCACAGACCCATCCGCTGACACGTCCACTCCCAAATATCTGAATACATTCACCTCCTCCATACTCTCTCCCTCCAATTTGATACCCAATCTTTCATCACCTAATCTTTTTGTTATCCTCATGACCTTACTCTTTCCTGTATTCACTTTTAATTTTCTTCTTTTGCATTCCCCACCAAATTCATCCACCAACCCTTACACCCTTTCATTTTACCTACCGCCTCACGAACTTCCCCCACACTCACAACTGGTTCTTCCTCACTCCTACAAGATGTTATTCCTCCTTGCCCTATACATGAAATCACAGCTTCCCTATCTTCATCAACATTTAACAATTCCTCAAAATATTCCCTCCATCTTCCCAATACCTCTAACTCTCCATTTAATAACTCTCCTCTCCTATTTTTAAGTGACAAATCCATTTGTTCTCTAGGCTTCCTTAACTTGTTAATCTCACTCCAAAACTTTTTCTTATTTTCAACAAAATTTGTTGATAACATCTCACCCACTCTCTCATTTGCTCTCTTTTTACATTGCTTCAACACTCTCTTAACCTCTTTTTTTCTCCATATACTCTTCCCTCCTTGCATCACTTCTACTTTGTAAAAACTTCTCATATGCTAACTTTTTCTCCCTTACTACTCTCTTTACATCATCATTCCACCAACTGCTCCTCTTCCCTCCCGCACCCACTTTCCTGTAACCACAAACTTCTGCTGAACACTCTAACACTACATTTTTAAACCTACCCCAAATCTCTTCGACCCCATTGCCTATGCTCTCATTAGCCCATCTATCCTCCAATAGCTGTTTATATCTCACCCTAACTGCCTCCTCTTTTAGTTTATAAACCTTCACCTCTCTCTTCCCTGATGCTTCTATTCTCCTTGTATCCCATCTACCTTTTACTCTCAGTGTAGCTACAACTAAAAAGTGATCTGATATATCTGTGGCCCCTCTATAAACATGTACATCCTGAAGTCTACTCAACAGTCTTTTATTTACCAATACATAATCCAACAAACTACTGTCATTTTGCCCTACATCATATCTTGTATACTTATTTATCCTCTTTTTCTTAAAATATGTATTACCTATAACTAAACCCCTTTCTATACAAAGTTCAGTCAAAGGGCTCCCATTATCATTTACACCTGGCACCCCAAACTTACCTACCACACCCTCTCTAAAAGTTTTTCCTACTTTAGCAAAAAATATTTACACACAAAAGCCCTGTTTCAACAGTGCTTTGCAGTGACATCTGACACTGACCTAACTTTCAAGAGACTTTTGGAAAAGTTAGTTCAACATCCTAAAGTATGAGTCTGATAATTAAAGCCTGGGAAATACTGTTACAGACACTGAAATTTTCGCAGTTCAAACACCACCTATTAAGTTCAAACACCGAGGTCCCACTGTATTGTACTGGAATCACATGATCATTAACATTTAAATATAGGCATGATTAGCATTTCAAATGTATAATCTATGGGAGTTATGTTGGTACTCAATCAAAATTAATAATGAATTGTATATTTCCTATTAATTTTAATTCCTAATAATAAGTCATAGTTTTAGCAAGCCTGAAATGCTCTGCATTATCAATGGTTTTCCAAATGCAGAAGTTGTACTTTTTTGTATCTTTTTTTTTTCAACAAGTCGGCTGTCTCCCACCAAAGCAGGGTGACCTAAAAAGAAAGAAAATCCCCAAAAAGAAAATACTTTCATCATCATTCAACACTTTCACCTCACTCACACATACTCACTGTCTTTGCAGAGATGCCCAGATACAACAGTTTAGAAGCATATATAACATACCCCTCCAAACTGCCAATATCCCAAACCCCCTTCTTTAAAGTGCAGGCATTGTACTACCCGTTTCCAGTATTCAAGTCTGGCTATATAAAAATCATTGGTTTTCCTGAATCCCTTCACTAAATAATACCCTGCTCACACTCCAACAGCTTGTTAGGTCCCAAAAACCATTTGTCTCCATTCACTCTTACCTAACGTGCACACACATGCTTGCTAGAAGTCCAAGCCCCTCACCCACAAAACCTCCTTTACCCCCTCCCTTCAACCTTTTCGATAATGACCCCTACCCCGCCTTCCTTCCCCTACAGATTTATATGCTCTCCAAGTCATTCTACTTTGATCCAGTCTCTCTAAATGACCAAACCATCTCAACAACCCCTCTTCAGCCCTCTGACTAATAATTTTAATAACTCTACACCTCCTCCTAATTTCCACACTCTGAATTCTCTGCATAATGTTTACACCACACACTGCCCTTAGACAGGACATCTCCACTGCCTCCAGCTGCCTCCTCGCTGCAGCATTTGCAACCCAAGCTTCATACTCATATAAGAGTGTTGGTACCACTATACTTTCGTACATTCCCTGCTTTGCCTCCATGAATAACGTTTTTTGTCTCCACAGATACCTCAATGCACCACTCACCTTTTTTCCTTCATAAACCCATCCACTGACAAGTCAACTCCCAAATATCTGAAAACATTCACTTCTTTGATACTTCTTCTCTCAAATGTGATATCCAATTTTTCTTTATCTAAATCATTTGATACCCTCCTCACCTTACTCTTATCTATGTTCACTTTCAACTTTCTACCTTTACACACCCTCCCAAACTTGTCCACTAACCTTTGCAACCTTTCTTTAGAATCTCCCATAAGCACAGTATCATCAGCAAAAAGTAACTGTGTCAACACTCATTTTGTATTTGATTCCCTATAATTTAATTCCACCCTTCTCCCCAACATCCTAGCATTTACTTCTTTTACAACCCCATCTATAAATATATTAAACCATGGTGACATTACACATCCCTGTCTAAGACCTACTTTTACTGGGAAATAATCTCCCTCTCTCCTACACACCCTAACCTGAGCCTCATTATCCTCATAACAACTCTTTACAGCATTTAGTAACTTACTACCTATTCCATATGCTTGCAACATCTGCCACATTGCACCCCTATCCACTCTATAATATGCCTTTTCTAAATCCATAAATGCAATGAAAACTTCCCTACCTTTATCTAAATACTGTTCATATACATGCTTCAATGTAAACACTTGACCTGCACATCCCCTACCCACTCTAAAGCCTCCTTGCTCATCTAGTACGACTATTTCTTTTAACTGTCCAGGTGGGTGGAATTACTGGAGGTGACACAGAAAACTGCGTCCGGTAATTACACCCACCAAGACAGCCGCGACCGAAGGTCAGCTAGACGAGACGAAGCTCACACACTGCTCTATTTATAAATAAAATTCATTTTCATTTTTACAAAGAAATTAAAGGAATAAATATACTTTAATAGTTATTTCTCAGTAAGCAATTCAGCATAATACAGTGCATACTCTCTGAAAGAGGGGTGGGGATGCTCCAGTTTGGAGAGTTATTTTAATCTGAATTTCATTTGGAGACCAAGCTTTGTCCTAAAGTGAAATGTCATCTTAAAAATGTTTCCATGCTGCCTAGTGTCTTTATTGTAGTATGTATTAACTATTTACAGAACATTGTTTTAAAAATAATACTGCCATAGCTCAACGTTACCTAATTTACGTCTCTTCTCCTCTGCTGCTTTTCTTTCGTTACTTATCAGGCGATATTTGAGGTCCTGAATTTGGTTCTCCAAAAGAATTACTTTTCTCTCTATAACTTTAACATGCAGTGGTGTCTCTCCCTCGGCACCAGGCATGATTGTGTTATGTTAAACAGGTGTATCTTTGATGAATCTGTAGTGTCCTATCAAGATAGTAAAATAACAAATGATTTTTAAAGAAATAAATCAAGGAAACATTACTCTGAAACAATTGTTTTTCCTTTCCCATTCAGAGAGTTCCTTTTCTTTTTTGAATTCATAAAAAAATCATAAGAAGTTCATGAAAAGACTATTTCATCAATTTATTATGCAAAACCTTATTTTAACACATTTTATTACACTCAGTACAAAGATGAGCATATCAACTGTCAATACAATACTAAGCTTTCACATAATGAACATCTAAAGATAATGTTTATCGGCATTCTAGATTTTAGTTACATTCACAATATGTACAGTACAAACACAAAGTTTTTTTTTTTTTATAAATTCTGATAACTTCATAAACACCATTTAATATACTGTATTATTACTAGCTTTTCTTATCACTGTTCTGACACAGCTACCACACAAACAACACTGAGCTCTCTGGCACTGCAAGACCTTCTGCTTTCTCATTCCACCCCCCCACAGAATGGCCCATAACCCCAGCCGCCCCCTCTACGAGCCACGCCCAACGACCATCCCCTAATGGCTCTTGATATGTGCAGGAGGGTCAGGGAAACCCAGAAAATACCAACATGGCAACTATATACTACGTTGCCACTTATTTCCAAACAAATGCATAAGATCTTCATAGTTTGTTTAGCATATTTATATTACAGTGCAATGCTCTTGGATATTTTAGCCTTTACAAGCCAAGTCCTTCAATATAATGAAAGGAAAACAAGAATGATACATACCTATGAGAATACCCAAAGTCTTATCAAAACAGATGTAACCCGTTAATTACTCTCTAACCGAATAAGGATGAAGACAGACCAACAGGAAAATTGCAACTCAAGAATGATTGCATGAGAAGATAAGGGCAGAAAATATCAGGTGAGAGATGACCTTACAGACCCATTGTTATCAGCTCTCTCACTCCCACTGGATCAATAAACCGCCAACAAAAAGAGAGAGGAAGAAATGGAGAACCAGGAGAAAATATTTTATTATAATTAAAATAAAATGGGATGCACTAATGACTACCTTGTGATATGTGATTCTTGCACAACATTTTCAAGCTGAAAATTAAACCATTCAACCATGAATAAATTTTGGTATCGTTTAAAATTAAGCAGTAGTATGTGAATAGAAATATACAAATTAAATCATATACATGTATATATATATTACACTGTAAAGCACAAAACCTAGAGTATATGACAATATTACATTACTATACATAAATATGTAAAGAGCAATATATACAATGGGTTAATTGCTTAAAAATATATGAAACACAAAATCCTTGAAATTTTTTGAAAATCCCTTCTTTGGAAGATATGAGGATTGAGTGGAGACGTGATAGTCACACAAATTTATAAAAAGATATGAAAAATTAAGAAACAAGATTTTTGGATCTATCAATAGGGAGAAAAAAAGGGGGCTACAATTTTAAACAAAGACAAATAAAGATACAGATAAGAGGATAGAAAGTATTTGTTTGTGTTACTGTTATGTGTTACAAGTGGTCTTAAGTTATAATAATAATAAATGTTTGTCATTCTTGTCTCTACAGACTAATACTTTTAAGAACAAAGAAGAGAAAGAAGACAGAGGAGAGGAAAGAAAAGAGGAACAAAGAAAAGAACAGGAAAAAAATAGAAGAAAATCTTCAGGTAATTTTTTTCTAGCCTTGCCTGAATCTATAAAAGGTTCATCAATCTGAAAATCATGAATATGAAAATTACCAAGAGTGCAGAGGGAAGGGGGAGGGGACCCAGTAAGGCTCATTTACTCTTGTATTATACAGAGAGGTGAGGGGAACATTTACATTCATTATGCAGGACGCGCGAAGCAATCCAACTGGTAATTTAGGCAATAGGTGTACTCGTAAAACAAGAGTTCCAGTTTTATATGGAGAACTTACATCATCAGTATGATATTATTAGTCACTAAAGTACATAATATACTAATTATTTACAAGTGAAAAAACTGTATCTATAAACAACTGATCTTACTTATTGAATTAAAGGCAAACTCGAAGACAAGACATTTTGTAACATTAGCTTTTGTTTAAGGGAAAACATTTCACTCTGTATAGACTTGAAGCTTTATAAAGTCATGACATGATAAAACTCTACAAAGTATGAAACACAGCCTCAACGATAGCATGTTTTGAAACAGTGAACACCTTGAAGATTAATAAATTAAAAATTTTGTTAAGCTATTCCTAATACTGTACATAAGAGCACTTATAAGAAGAATGTACAAATGAAAATAATGCTTAACAATTGTAGCATAAATTTAGGCTAATAAACTACAGTGGACCCTCGGTTATCGGCCATTCCGCTTATCGGCCAACTCTCTTACTGGCTGGTTTCTCGCCTTCCGGTTATCGGCCATTATTTCACTTATCGGCTGTATGGGAAGCGTCAACCTGCCACTGCCAGCCTCTCACATCAGTCTGGTTGTGTCTCTGGGTGAGTGAGGAAACTTCTGCTCATTCACCCAAACATTTCTCTATAATCCATTGTTTTTTGTGGTTACTGACTGAGTGCAACTGCAAAATAAGCAACCATGGGCCCAAATAAAGTTCTTAGTAAAGTTCCTTTGGTAAAGAAAGTGAGAAACATAAAGGAATTTACAAAAGAAGTTGTTGAAAAGCATGAGAGTGAAGGAGGACGAGAGAGGGGAGAATATGCCTTCTTCAGTGATTCAGTGTCTCTATGATATGTACGATACTAAAGCAGCAGGAGTCAATAAAGGCTATAGCGCCAGTCAGCGATGAAGTGTTGCATTAACAGTGTAGCAAGTAAGCGATTAAGCGATAGAAAAAGACAACATGAAACTTAACTCCTCCAATGTTGCTAGAGGTATATAGGGCTACTGACAACACCACTGCCCTGCCTATCTTCTACCACCCTAAACCAATGCCAGCATCTCCTACAAGGTACAGTTAGTGTAAATATTTCTTATTTATAAAGTGTAAATACAGTGGTACCTCGGGATACGAACAGCTTAAAACTCGAACAGTTATGTATGTGTATTTATGTAAGTGCTTTTGTAAGTGTATTTTTGGGGGTCTGAAACAGATTAATCTAATTTACATTATTCCTTATGGGAACAAATTCGTTCGGTATCAGCACTCGAACAGCTTTCAGGAACGAATTAAGTTCGTATCCTGAGGTACCACTGTATTTCTTATTTATAAATTAAAGTGTAAATAATTCTTATTTATAAATTATGTACAGTGTGTGAATGGTGGTGGTAGCTCTGCTGCCGCCCACTACCACTAATATGTATGGCTTATGCTCTCAGTGGCCCTTATGAACCCAACAACACACTGTCACTCGCCACATACATAATGACATATGTTATTCATTCTAGAGTATGTATCATGTTTCTGTGTTATTAATATTGTTTATTATGTCACATTAAATGAATTGTGGTAGATAAATAAGCAGTCGAGTTGATAATAACGTCATATTTAAGCCTCCCTTGCCATTTTGCATATGCCAACAAGACACTTCAATAAAGGCAAAAGTGATTTACATGTTCATTTATCTATTTCATTAGTCATTTTATTTAGTTCTCATTGTTTTCTGTATGTAAAGCTATAGTTAATCTTTAAAAATGTATTTTTTGTTAATATTTTTGGGTGTCTGAAACAGATTAATTGCATTTTCATCAATTCTTATGGGAAATATTATTTCAGTTATCGGCCATTTCGCTTTTAGGCTGACCTTCTGGAATAGATTACAGCGGACAACCGAGGGTCCACAATATTCAAGTTTCCTACACTGACTGAACTCTTAACAAAATTATTACCGTTTTCATATCTACATGCTTTTGATATTAAAAACCGAAACCTAGATTATAGTGTAGGTGCAGTACTATAAAGCTATGTTATCTAGATTAGATTAAACCAAGACCCCTCCTATTTGGCTGCAACCAATCATGGAGTGGATGTAACCTAAACCCACTCCTATTTGGCTGCAACCAATTAAGGAATGGATGTGGCCTGAACCCCTCTTATTTGGTTGCAGCCAATCATGGGGTTTATGTGACCTACTCTCCTCCCATTTTTCATGGGTCTAGAGTCTGGACACAATGGTGAAAATGCCAACATCAGTGTATGTTTTGTAAGTGGTAACAAAAGGACAACAAGAAAAGGCAAATTCTCATCATAAACTTTATGTTTTGTTATACAACACAATGCAGTACTGTATAGAATGCAATTATTAAAAAAAACACATAAATGATAGTAGTGGTTGGAAATTTTAAACGTACAATAAACCAAAGGCATATATGTACCAGTATTTAAAATTTGAAGATAAATCAAGTTGCACAGTCACATATGGCAAGACCCAATTAGATCAATCATGTTACACAGTCACATTCTGGGAAGATTGAACTAGACCAATCATGCTGCATAGTCACATTCTGGGAAGGCCCAACTATATCAATCATGTTGCATAGTCACATTCTGGGAAGATTCAACTAGATCAATCAGTCATATTGCATAGTCACATTCTGAGAAGGCCCAACTAGATCAATCATGTTGCACAGTCATTAAAATGAAAGTCAAAGCATATTAAAAAATATATTTCATTCTGAGGTGTTAAGTTAGTTTTCATGAAATTTTATTTAGTTTATTTTATTCATTTATGAAAAAATATCATTAAAGTGTGTTAAATTGATTATATCATGTATTTTACTTTCTAATGATTCCCTTCTTTCAAAATACTATACTTAACCATTAAACGGTCCAAACGTATATATACGTTTTTTCAACATCTGAAAGTATGTAAAAAAATGTAGATCTTCTTTTTTGTTTTACATTTGAAAACGTGTAAAAAAAACTTTTATCTACATTATTTTTTTGTTATATTTGAAAATATGTAAAAAAAAGTAGATCTACTTTTGCAGCATTATGAATTTGAACGTCGATCTGTTTGGACCAT